GCAGTTTATGAGTCACTTATCCTCACGGCCTGGGGGAGGGGGACGCTGCAAGCCATGCAGGGTCACAGAGGGTTGCCCTCGGGAACAGCGTGAACAACCAGGGACTGCAGGTGGAAAGGGTGGCAAGAGGATGGAGCGCCCTGGTTCCCCAGGGAGGATGTGATTGGCCCGTCTGAGTAATTCTGTGGGCTGGCAGGGAACTGAAACTCAGTACCCAGGGGTATGTGGCGACTGTGGCTTGGGTTTAGCTAGGGGGCCTTATCCACAGAGCAGAGTGCGGTTCGAGGCCGTTCGAGGTCCTCCTGATTTCACCAGATGTCAAGACAGCACATAATATTGAGTCTCAATCTTAGATCTTATACCCCAGTTGACTCCGCGGTTTCTTGACATCAATTTAAACCTTAGTGACGATTGAGACTTACAGGGTAGAGAAGGGCCTCCCTAAATAGCAAAACAGGCACTTGACCAGGAGAGAATGGGCCATGTGGTGTGGCATGGGGGTAGTGAGGGCGTGGCCCCAGAGGGCATGAATCGATATAACCAATGCCTCTGGCAGGAGTGACACCAGGCAGGGGTTCTGTTTGCACTTTGTAACTAAAACAGGAATTCTGTGAGGAGCCCATTCTACCTTTCGATGGAACCTGTTGCCTATAGAGTAGATGGAAGTTGCATCAAATGGCTCCTTTTAGAACCAGGCGTTATTTGAGAAGTGAAATGACCATCTTGGTCCCTATCCAGTAATGTCTGGAGCTCCGAGGGGATAGAGAGTGTTCTAGCGAGGCCTTAGATTGTGGGCTTACTTTAGGTAGAGACATCTGTCGCCTTGATTTATATTCTGTTCATCTGTGAGGCAAGAGATTCCCAGAGTTCTTTACCCCAAAGTGGACAAGTCTTAGCAATGGTTCAAGAGTTTGTAAAAATAATAATAATAATAATAATAAAATAATGATGCTGCTGATGGGACCATTTGTTGACCAGGGCATTCAGCACTAAGATGACAACCTGAAGTTTGGCCAATTGTGCTGACCCTTGAATCCCATCTGTTATCAGGGACATCCTGAAAGGGCTGGAAAGCACAACTATCCATGAGCTCCATCGTGTATAATGGTGGTGATCTCATCTTTAGTGTCTACAAACTCCCACTGCTATTCACTCAGTTGATCTGAAGGGACTCCCCCCCGACCCCCGCCCCAGGTAACCCAGGCATCAGAGAAGAGTAACCTCTTCCAGCATCATGGCATCTGGTAAGAGACTGAGGATAGTGGGGGACGCCCCCTCCCATGGGTGGAATATGCCAGAGGGTCCGGGGTTTGCTCCACTCAGTAGCAAGGCCTCAGTAGCCATGTCAAGCTTGTGCGGTTCTGTTTCTGTGACCCAAGGCATAATGGGCAGCAGGGCATGGAGGCTCACAGTGAGAGCTTCTATTTCCAGAAGAGCTTAGCATGCAGCCAGCAATTGCTGCTCTAATGGTATATAGAGAGAAGGGCCTAGGAGGGCAGTTCCTTGCATCAGAAGCATGTGGACAACTTATGGCTATCATGGGTGGTCTGGGGACTTCAAGAGGAATATGAAGAGGTTGTTGAAACCCTGGCAATGAAGGGGTCTCTGAGAATGTTCGTAGACTTTTGTTGGAGGGAGCCAAATTTATGGTGGACCACTTTGCAAGTAACTATAGCAATGAAAGTAAGTAAAGTCTGTAAATGGGGGAATATGTTGCCTCCAGAGTTCCAAAAGAACTAAAAGATGTTGGACTTGTCTTAACTTGTAGGTACTGAGAGGCTCCATAACTCTTTATTGGCGGCGTCAGAGATGGAACAGCCCTTAGTTTACCAGAAGAGTCTTAGGAATTTAACCAAGTTGGCAGGGCGGCGCACTGTGTTGGGGGGCAATGTCCCGTTCCCTTTCTGTGAGCTCTTTTATGGATATTTCTATGGCTTGGATGACTATGTCAAATGGATGTCCTCAGAGGAGGATGTCATCCATGTAATGTCATACCCGTGATCCTGGAGAAGGTTGGGTGTAGTTCAGATCTTGCCTGCAAAGGCCATGCGGTAGGACAAGGTTGTTAGGTAACCCGTGGGTAGCCTGGTCACCCTGTGTGGGTGCCTTTGCAGATGAAGGCACACTGCAGTGAGAGGCTGCTAAAGCAGACACCGGACAGAATATATTAGCCAAATCTCTAATAGCCACATATTTACTAGTGGCTGATGGGATGGAGTCCGTAATTTCAATAATACTGGGCATCAGGTATGGGGCTTTAAAGGATGGGACCACTGCATTAAGGTTGCAGTAATGCACTTTGAGGTGCCATTTGTTTTCTTCCGGGTTTAAGAAGAGGCCAAATTCAACTGTTAAATGGAGAAGCAGTAGATAATCAGCCTTTCTTTCACTCATCAGGTCTTAAATTAAGTTTTGATTTTTGAAGGTCCTGTTTAATTTACATTGGGCCATATTAGTTATTTGAACTAAGAGGTCTATGGGGTCTCATTTTGTCAAGTCAACTTCTAACTGTAAAAATTGAATATTAATTTATGGGGTCAGAGTAGCCATGCCCCCTGTGGGATGCTCTAGGGCAATGGGTGCTGTGACCATGGGATATTGAGGCAAAACGGTAGTTCTCATGGTCAGGGTGAGGCATGCCTGTCCTCTATTTTACATTCAGGAGCTCTCCTAAGATTATGGGGTGGGGGGAACACCGTGTTGACATTTAGTGGCATCTCCAGGTGTAACTGTAATTGGAGCCCCAGTACTGATTAAGTCCATGAGGATTTTGCCAAGTCATGCATTTTAGCAAATATTAAAGCTAATTCAGAACTTAATTCATCAGGCAGAAGCATCCAGCACTTTATTTTTTTTTTTTAAAGTGTGTGTATACACATGTGCTGGGAGAGGGGGCAGAGGGAGCGAATTTCAAGCAGACTCCATGCTCAGCGTGGAGCCTGACCCCGGGCTCAATCTCACAACCCCGAGATCACAACCTGGGCTGAAATCAAGAGTCGGATGCTCAACCAACTGAGCCGCCCATCCAGCACTCTTTCATCTGTGGGCTGTGTAAATTATTGTAGTAAATGTTGGATTTGCCATTGGGTCAAACTCTGGACCTCTGTTTTCAGTTCTTTTTTTCCTTTTATGTCCTCCCCAGTATCCAGATTTCTTTCCATCTTTCTTTCATTTCCCCTCCCCTTTTCTTTTTGCGTCACCAGATAAACTCTGGGTAGGTGGGGGAATCCTCTGCTCTGCTCATATTTCTACATTTCCTCTTCCACAGAGCCTCAGATCAGTACCATGGGGGTTGGGGCCTGCCACAGCTGCCTGCCGTACGGCAGTGGTTGCTTTCATATGGTTTCGGGACCCCAGGCTTGCATCAGGCTCGAACTAACCCCTTGCCATGCCGCAGGGGGACCATGGGTTTCCCCTGTAACTGAGGATCCGGATCTTCATTGTATCAGGCACAGGTAGCCCAGTGGCCCAGCGGGCAATGGGCTGAAACTGGGCTTTTGGCTACAGCCCTGCCGTTCCTTTGTTTTTTATGCTTTCTCTGTGGACTCCCTTGGAATATTTTTATTTCTACCTGCATAAAGCCTCAGCGTTCATTTTCTGATCATTCACGGTGCAGACTTTCTGGGAGTTTATGGGGACAGGCTGGGGAGGCTGATGGCCCACCTCATAGGGAAGGCCAGTCAATCTGCCTGGGGGTCCACCTCCAGGAAGGTCCTACTGCTACGGGTCGCGCAGGGTCCATCAGGCCCGTGATCGCAGGATTGGTCCTTTGGCACAGCTGCGCTGAGCCCGGGCGCACAGGCGGGGGGCGTGGCATTGGCACAAGAGCCACACGCCAAACACTCCTCTCCTGTTCCCCCCGGTTCCTGGGCCACAGGCTGCCATGGATGTGTACCTTGATGCCCTCGGGGGTCAGGAGAGCACGTGTGCCAGCAGCAAGGGCAGCGACAGCAGAGGAGACAGACAAGGTCGCCGTTTGTGCCCAAACAACCACACGCAGGGAGCCATGTTTCACTCTCCCTGGGCTGGTGATCTTATTGCTTTCTGCAGACCTCCCAAAGGGCCATCCCCACCGCCATCCTGGCCATGTACGATCGCAGTCCTTGTGCACCTGCCCCGAGTACCGTGATGGCCACCAGGCTGGACACAGCTCCTGGAGAGCTCGAGCCCAGCCCTTGATAGCTGGGACTTAAGTAGGGACCGGTCAGGGCACTTAGAGCTGGAATCCTCCAAGCTCACCTGCCAAGCATCCGTGGAACCCGACAACACATCACACTGGGGGACAGACAGTGAACAACAGTTTTCATCTTGGGGACGAGGACATTTTAGCTGGGAAGAGAGGACAAACACCGACGTGCATGTCTGGCAACTGGCAGTTCTGTCCCAGGCAGCCCTTGCTGGGCCAGTGACGCTGGCTCAGTCTGACCGAATGTCTTCCATAGTGGGTGGGCCATGCTGTCTGTGAGGCCAGTTGTCAGACCACCTCCTGTTCACCCGGCTGGTGGGGGACGGATCCTGCCCTGGGGTTAGGTGGACGGCCACACATACCTGACACTGGACAAAGGAGATGGACAGCAGTTTATGAGTCACTTATCCTCACGGCCTGGGGGAGGGGGATGCTGCAAGCCATGCAGGGTCACAGAGGGTTGCCCTCGGGAACAGCATGAACAACCAGGGACTGCAGGTGGTAAATGTGGCAAGAGGATGGAGCGCCCCTGGTTCTGCAGGGAGGATGTGACTAACTCATCTGAGTAATTCTGTGGACTGGCAGGGAACTGAAACTCAGTACTCAGGGGTGAGTGGGGACTGTGGCTGGTGTCCTCCCAGGCAGTGGGGTGTAGCTTAGGGGCCTTACACATGGATGCAGAGAGGGCAGGAGACCTGAGGCCTCCCTGATTTTACTAGATATCTAGGGAGCACATAATATTGCATCCTAATGGTAGGCCTTACACCGCAGAGCGTGTTCTTTATCAAGTCTTGTGTCTTTTTCCACCCTCCAGCTGAGGAATGTGATCCCATTACGTTGAACTGCCCAACAGATTCTGATGTGCAACATCAGGTAAGACTCCTTTTAGTTATATTTTCACCCTTAGGCTCTTGCTAATCCTTCTAGAATTTTTTAGAAATTCTCCTCCAGAGCTTTGAAAAGAAAGAAGAGGATTTTTAGGTAATAAAATAAGTCTGGAAATGATCTTTAAACAGCCCGGTAGATAGAGCACATCCACACAACGTCTGTTACTCCCCGTTACTATGGCAGCTTTAATCCGTTTTTCGAAAAAAAATATTTGTCTGTAGGCTAAACACAGACCATCAGTGTTAGTGAATGAAAGAGCAGAGACTGCTTTCTTTCAGATGGAGTTGGTATGCTGTGAATGGGAAGCTTTTTTTAAGCCACAACAAAACTGGAGAGTCTAATAACATTTTTGTAATGTTTTTATAAAACTTTTCCTTTTTTCAGTAACACGTTATTTTTTTTGTCTTTCCCCAAAAAGCAAATCCCTGTGCTGTTTTCTGATTATAGAAGAATGTTTGTTATTTTAAACTTCAGATAGGACAAAAATGTACCCCAAAAAACTGAGAATTGCCTGTCATTCCATTGTTACCTTTTGAGGTACATCCTTCCAGAAGTTTCCTTGGGTCACCTTGTGCTTCCGTTACTTCTTGTACTGTCCAGCCCATTTCTTTCTACTTGCTCAAAGCTCATTAGCAGAATTGCACAATGCTTCACATCTGCTGAACTATATTTAGAGTGTCAAATGTCTCAAAAAGCATGTCTTGCCTCAAGATGGGCTAGTTTGGTCCTGCCTGTTCCATAACACCAAGGTAATTTTTTAGAGAGACAAATTGAAAGTTCTGTTTAGGCTTACTTGTCAAACATCAGTCTGTCATAAATCATCAATAGTGATACTCTTGGATAGTCAGATCACTTTTGCAAAAAAAGCAAAATTATACTGTAGTTGATAGAACTGTCAATTTTAATTGTATACAGCTCTCTTGAAAGTTGTCAGTGATGCTGCTTTTAACTTTGATTTGGGGCTCTTCAGTCACCTATTGTGAATATCATATTCTTATTTAGTAATCCCTAGCATTTTCCTTGGAGTTACGATCTAATGGTTGACTTTGGCACCGACTAAATTTAAACAGTTGTAGTAAACCCAAAGTCGGAAATTTTCTCTTCTTGCATTCCTCAATTTGTTTAACCAAGCTTTGCTCTTCACATGTTTTGTAACATGATATAGATTCTCATGAAGATGTAAGAATGCTACATTGTTTGTTTAGCTTGCTTGTAGGGATTTTCCAAAACCGGTTAAGATTAGGTACAGAATATACCTTAGGACACTGTTCAGAAACTGTTTAATTTTAGTGTCATAGGTCTGGCTATATGAAGTAAAGACTAAAAGATGAAAATAGATCTATAAACGAATAAAAGGGGAAGAAACCTATTTGAGATTTTTTTCCCAGTTCTGTTGTAAAAGAAATTGTCATATTCCTATGAAAAGTAGGACTGTACCTACCTACTTCAGTTCGTTATTTCTTTGCATAATCTATAGGATTTGTTCTAACTGCTAGATATCCAGCGGATTCTTTGAAGCCAACTTGGCAGTTAGAATAAAGAAAACTCACCAGGGGAGACACGTTTAAAAAAACAAAACAAAACAAAACCCGTAGTCCATTTTCTAGAGCTCCGACATTAAAAGCAAGCTAAAGATATGTTCTTCAGAATATGTAACATTTGGTGTGTGAGTGCTTTTTATCATTTGAAAACTAAAATCCACTTCTTTGAATGATGCAGAGGGAAAACATTGCAGCGTCCTCGTGTGCAAAGTCGAAGTCTGACATCTCAGACAAATTTCGTAGAGAATCCTTTACTTTTAGGAACTTAAAATCCATACCCCATCTACTAGAGCGTGTCCTACTTCTACAATTTATTACAAGTGGCATTTGTTGAGCGTATGTTCTGAGACCAAACCTGGACTTGGTGTTCTTGGATGTAAGAAAAACAGGGGGTGGGGCAGGGAGGAGAGAAGACCCCTAAAGAGCTTATGGACTCGCTAGCGAAGCAGGGCACCCAACATGAGATTCTAGGTGTGGGGATGGTTCACAGGGCTTAAAAACGTTCATGGAACTTGGGGTGGCTGGGTGGCTCAGTCGGTTAAGCATCTGACTCTGAGTCATGAGTTCAATCCCCATGCTGGGCTCCATGGACACTACTTAGGGGAAAAAAAAAAAGTCTGTGGAACTTTATGTTCAAGAAAACACTTTCCAGAACCTTTAGCCAACAGTGAAGTTTCAACCATGTGAACTACATGCACAAACATCTGGCAAATGAGAATAAAGCAAAATTTGTTCCAGTTTGTAGCCAACAATCCATGCCAAGAGGAAACCGGAGTAATAATAAAAATAATAAATATCAGGTTGCTAACGCGGAGTTAGAGGTGATAGAAAGAATGACGTTTTCCTCGATTTATGTTGTTTATTTGGTTTTACCAAACTAAAGTCTTTATCTTTTAAGTTTTAGAAACTACATGAAAGTACTGGGCTCATTTAGTTGTGACAAAAGTATCATACTAATGTAAGGTGTTAATAATAAAGGAATTGGGGGCTCCTGGGTGGCTTAGTCGTTAAGCGTCTGCCTTCAGCTCAGGTCATGATCCCAGGGTCCTGGGATTGAGTCCCGCATCGGACTCCCTGCTCAGCGGGGAGCCTGCTTCTCCCTCTTCCTCTCCCTCTCCTGTTCCCCCTGCTTGTGCTCTCTTGCTCTGTCAAATAAATAAATAAAGTCTTTAAAAAAAATAGTAATAATAATAAAGGAAATGGGGTGTAGGGTATCCAGGAACTCTTTATACCATCTTCTCAAGATATCTGTAAGTCTAAAAGTATTCTAAAAAAAAAGGTATTTTATCTTATTTAAAGATTTATTTATTTTAGAGAGAGTACGTGCAGGTGAGGGGAGGGACAGAGGGAGAGGGAGAGAGAATCTCAAGCAGACTCCCTGCTGAGCATGGAGCCCGATGTGGGGCTCGATCCCGTGACCCTGAGATCATGACCTGAGCTCAAATCAAGAGTCGGCTGCTTAACCAACTGAGCCACCCAGGCGCCCCTAAAGTAAAAACGTATTTTAAAAACCACACTAAGTAAAATTTAGAATCTAGGAAAATGAAAAACCTCATTCACAATTCCACTACTCTAATATAACTGTCTTTTTGTCATTTGGATGTATTCCCTCATACATTTTTTTTCATATGAATAATTGTAAAAACTGTTTGTAAATATATCTTCCTTCTGTCATGTAATGTTATCTCACAGACTTTATTCAGTTTGTGCCATGGCTGTGAATGGCTGCGTGGTATTACCGTCTTTGACATGGAAGTGACTCTGGGACGTGTGTCCAAGGGCAGGACGAGAGCATCCCTGCTACCAGCTTTGGTACCTGAGGAAAGAGCCACTGACAAATACTTTGCCTGGAGTTGAAGGATTAGGAGATCCTTAGGTGATAAGGCTGAGGGATAAGTTGGAGCCCGGGCCCCAGAGCCTTGAATGCCAGACACGGGTGGATGGAAGGTATTGGGCATTGTGAGTGATGGACCAACGACCATATCCGGGAGCCCCAGGGAACTGCAGAGAAGATGAGAGTAAATTTTAAGCCTGTAACTGGGACCTGTTCCTACCAAAAATATAAATAAAGAATTCAGGAAGAAGATAGGATTCATGTGTTGCTGGGATTAAGTTCTGTTTGTCTGTGGGCTGTGAAACAGGAGATAGAGGTTTGAAGAGGTTGGGGTATGTGAGATTTGTGGCAATGCCCAGTAAGTGCTGGAAAACACAGCTCTAGGTCCTGGTTTAGGACTCTCGCATCAGGAGGTTATAGCTGAAGCCTCGGGAGTGGACGAGACTGCCAAGGAGGGAGTCCTTGTAGAAAGCAAAGGGGGGAGCCAGGGATGGAAGCTTGAGGAACACCTCATTTGAGGCCAGAGGAAGAAAAGGAGCTCAGAAGCAGAAATTGGTCATTGGGACGAAAATGTAATTATAAGGCTTAAAGAGTGAGTGGGTGATAAAGTTCATGCAGTCCTGGAAGATTCCTTAAGGGAGCAAGGAAAAAATATTGAATTCTTGTTTGAGGGTGTTAGAAAATACAGGGGAAAAAAGCTGCTTCTTTTCAGGATGGGAAACAGCGGATTTTAAAGGATAAGGTATCACCAGGAGTGGAGAGATTCAAAACAGGAGAAGGAGAAGTAATAATTAGTGGGGTTTGTTTTCCTTACAGGGTTAATGTTCCTAGCAAATACTGATTGATAATGTGCTTAAAGATGTTCTGTGGGGTTGTGCCTGGGTGGTTCCGTTGGCTGAGTGTCTGACTCTTGATCTCAGCTCAGGTCTTGATCTCAGGGTTGTGAGTTCGAGTCCCCACATTGGGCTCCATGCTGGGTGTGGAGCCTAATTTTTAAAAAAATATCCTGTGGGGAACACCCAACATATTGGTTTCCTTCAAGGAATGTATAATCTGGCAGGGAAGATATATGCACACATATATTAGATAAATATCCGAGGCACATACCAGTGAGTTAGCATTTTAAAAGTAAGAATCTCAGGGTGCCTGGGTGGCTCAGTCGGTTAAGCATCTGCCTTCGGGTCAGGTCATGATCCCGGAGTCCTGGGATCAAGCCCTGCATTGGGCTCCCCGCTCAGCGAGGAGTCTGCTTCTCCCTCTGACCCTCCCCCCTCTCATGTTCTCTCCCTCTCACTCTCCCTCAAATAAATAAAATCTTAAAAAATAAATAAAAGTAAGAATCTCAACTTTTTCAGAGACAGGACAAAAAGAAGACCTGATAGGTAAAGATACAAACATTCTTTTTAGTTGTCTAGAAGCTGGGATAGCTGATGTCAGATTTGAGTAGCGCCTTGAACGGCGACCCTTGAGTGGGGCAGGAGGGGAGGAAATCTAGTGAGGAGATTAGGAGTTCAGGGGTGTGTTCTGTCCATATGGCAGGGAGGCCAGAGGCCGTCATGAATGAGGCAGTGGCATGGTGGCATTTGATAAATTGGAAATGGATTGCAACA